TAACCCCAATGAAGGTACTTATAACTGTACTTATTTAAGTCCCATGATAAACCCTAAACCCTAAACCCGAAACCCTAAACCCTAGACCCTTTAAGTAGCCTGCCTAACATGGGCTTCGAAGCGCAAGTACCGAAAAAGGCCCTTAAAAAAACCCTCTAAGTACAGAGCCAAGGCAGTCCAAAGGCTTGGCACCTGGAGCTTGTTGGAGCCAAGAGTCGAGGTTGTAGTGCCCAAAAAGGGTTTGGGGTTTAGGGTTTAGGGTTCAGGGTTCAGGGTTTAAGGTTTAGGGTTCAGGGTTTAGGGTTTAGGGACTCTAAGCAAGACTCCTGAACCTCCTTGGATGCAGAAGGGGCATCAAGGGCTACTATTGCTACAGTATAAGTATAAGCATGATTATTAGTATCATTATTACCATCATGATGGAAACAATACTACGAACAAATACCAATAGTACTACTGTCATTACTACTATTGTTGGTATTCCGGTCGCTACTATTGCAACTCTAGAAAAAGCCAGGTAGGAACTCACAGTTCTACGCCTCCGCAGGCTCCTGATGATTGTCGCGCGTCTGGCGAAGTGCCACCATAGGAGCTTCAAGACCTAGAGCTCTAAACCCTAAACCCTAAACCCCTGAACCCTAAAGCCCAAACCCCGAAACCTTGAACATTAAGCCTTCTAGGATTAAAGATAGACCTTTTCCCAACCTCCCAGTCCAAACCACGACTTCTGAATCTGATAGAGCGAGGAAAGGTTAGAATGACCCTAAGCACAGCTCTTTCTTGCCTTCCAGGTTCAAGAAGAGGCGCAGCGCGCAGCGGGGCAACTCATCGGCGCTGATTGGGTTGGCTCGTCTTCGGTCTCACAGAAATTTCCGAGAGGTAATATATAGGGGCCTTCATAATTAGAATGGGCTTTTGGGGGTTCCTTGTTATAAATGTAGTATACAGGGACCCCAAAGCCCTATTCTAATTATTAAACGGCCCCGACATTAAGCAAATGGTCAGTTTCCCTTCAAGCTCATGTTTCGGTTTCCTTACGATGTCACTTTACTTGCTGACGAATTCGTGTAGATATTGTATGTTAGCAGCCTCTTGCCCCTTTAATCAACACACTGGGCTTTAGTTCACCCTTCTTTCATCTGCTCTCTAAACCCTAAACCCTTATAGATCTTGCAGCATAAGCATATGATGCCCCCTTGTCCTGTGCAATGTTGTAAGTGTCTACACGCTTCACAACGGGCTTGCTACACAAACACAGAATCAATGGCCAAAAGGGTTTAGAGTCTTAGGGTTTTAGGGTTTAGGGCCATTGTATTCATGTTTGAAGGCACCGGGCTTTGGGTTTCTTGATCTTCCATTTCGGGCTTACTGTAGTTAGCAGTGAGTCTCTGTGATTCTAAACCCTAAACCCTAAACCCTAAACCCTAAATCCCTAAACCGTAAGGCCTAGCGCCTAGGGCGAGCCTGAAGCTGGTGAGCTTGCTGGGCTGGTGTACCAGGGAGATCGGCGGAAACCTGCAGATGACTCACCCGGATCAAAACCTAATCCATGAACCCTCAACCCTAAACCCTAAACCCTAAACCCTTGATTTAGGCTCTATGTCAAACCAAAAGCCAAAGCCAATCTTTGTAAGGGGCTGGCAGTGGGTGACAGGAAGGGCCGGATGCGATGCTGCAATGTAGGGGGGTCGGAAGATTGAATGGTGATAGTGTGATCCCTATGCTAATTCCTGAGGCCCCTATACTGCAGATTCTGTAATATCAGGTGGCAGAGGAGCATGAATCTGCCCACAGCGCGAGATATCGAACTTAGTGAGTCACGGGCTTGCGGTAATATTCTTTATCGGCTAGACACGGAATCCTACAGGATTTTAGGACTTAGGATCCAAGTGAGGCTTGTGACGACCATGGATGAAAGAGCGAAATGGATTTTGCCAGTAGTAGGCTTCCTGATTATAGTATACTGCAGGAACCTGATTAAGAAACCCTGGGCCTTTGTTAGGGTTCTTAATATGAGCCCTAAAAAAGGTGGGTTATAGAGCCAGGGCCCCAAACCCTAAACCCTAAACCCCTAAACCCCTAAACCCTAAACCCTAAACCCCTGAACCCAAAACCCAAAACCCTGAATCCTAAACTCC